TAAGCATCCAACTTCCTTCTTTTGCATGTGGATATGCAGTTCTCCCAGCACCAATGGGTTGAAGAGACTGCTCTTTCTCCATTGACTGGTTTTAGTACTCTTTTAGCTAATCAATTGGCCATAGAAATGTGGATTTATTTCTGGACTCTTAATTCTATTCAATTGATCTGCATCTATCCTGTGCCAATACCATACTTTTCTGATTACTGAAACTTTGTAGTAAGCTTTGAAACTGAAAAATATGAGTCCTCCAACTTAGTTCTTTTTCAAGATTGTTTTTCAAGATTGTCCCTTCAGATTCCATATGAATTACAGGATCAGCTTCTCTGTTTCTGCCAAAAATAAATAAATAAATAAATAAATAAATAAATAAATAAATAACTAAATAAATAAAATAAAAAAGGTAGGCGGGGCATTGGGGTTTTGATAAGGATTGTGTTATATCTTCAGATGAATTTGGAGAGTATTGCCATCTTTACAATATTAATTAGGTCAACCCATGAACATAGGATATTTTTTCTATTTATGTAGATTTATTTAAGTTTTTTCTTCAGCAATGTTTTATAGTTTTCAGTGTGTATAGGTTTTGCATCTTCTTAGTTAAATTTATTCCCAAGTATTTTAATTTTTGATGTTGTTGTAAATGGAATTACTTTCATAATTTTTTTGGATTGTTTGTTGTTAGTGTATAGAAATATAGCTGATTTTTGTGTGCTGATCTTATGTCCTGCAACTTTGCTGAATTTATTTCTTAGGTTTAACTGGGGTGTGTGTGTTTGTGTTTGTTCTTCAGGATCTCCTATATATAACATCATGCCACCTGTAAAATAGAGATAAATTCTACTTCTTCCTTTCCAATTTAGAGACATTTTATTTCTTCTATTTCCTAATTGTTCTGATTGGAACTTCCAGTTGAATAGAAGTGGCAAAAGTGGCAAAAGCAGTTGTCCTTGCCTTGTTTCTGATCTTAGGTGGGAGGTGAAAAGTCTTTTACTACTGAGGATGATGTCAGCTATAGGATTATATGTGTGTGTGAGACAAATGCCCTTTGTCATGTGGAGAATGTTCCCTTCTATTCCTAACTTGTTGATTGATTTTATGAAAGGGTGTTGGATTTCATCAGATGGTTTGGGGTTTTTTTCCATCAACTGAAATGATTTTGTGGGATTTTTTTTCCCTTCTCTCCTTTTGCTCCCACTTCCACTGCTGAAAGTCCTGACCCAAACCAAGCCATTGGGATTCTGAGCGGGGTTGCAGCCAATCTCTTCCCTGAGAGCTGTTGTTGGTTTAGACCTCTGATGGTGGGGGTGCGCCTGAGGAAAACAGGCAGTGGGAGAGCAGTACAGAGCTGGGGGGTTCCCAAAAGGCTGCCTAGGCCTGGAGACCCTAACATCTGACCATGCCCTGGGATGGGGAAGCTCCTGGGCCATGCCCTTTGGTGGGCAGTGGGCATCAGGCTGGGATGAACCTCACAGATTCACCGTAGCTCATTCATTCATTGGTTCAACACTGTCTGAGGTCAAGTTCCCTGAAGCATCAAATTCTCTGGAGAGCTTGTTACAACACAGATTGCTGGGCCCCACCCCTAGAGTTGCTGATTCAGGAGGTCTGGGGTGGGGCCTGGAAACATGCATTTCTAACAAGCTCTCAGGGGCCACTGTTGCTGCTGGTCGAGGAACCACACTAGGGGAAGATTGGCCCTAGAAGCAGAGCCTGCAGTAGGGATTTAGCTGGGACAAGGTTCTCAGTGAAACCTATAAGAGAGAGTGGGAGGCAAAGAAGGCAGGGGAAGAAGCTGGGTCTACGTGTGTGTTCGCCAGAATTGTGGCCTCAGCCTGATCCCATGAATGCAGCATCTGTCTTAGTAGCAGAAGGCCAGGCTCTTACAGGCTCTCCTGGGATAGAACAGTTAAGGTGGTTTTCTCAGGGGAGGGCGCAGGTACAGATCTGGGGGAGGATTGACAGCATGTGCAACAAGCACCTACTTTGTGCCAGGCATCGTTCTCAGCACTGTGCAGTAGGAACGAACACGTGCCTGCCCTCCCAGAGCTGGCGTCCTGCTGGGAGAGATGACATAGACATATTGTTAGTGTCAGGTAAAGACAAGTGCTGTGCACAAAGATGAAGCAAAGGCAGGGGTCAAGGGAGCTCAGGTGGGGGTACTTTATATTGGGCAGCGAGTAAAGACCTCTCCAGTAGCTCTGAAGTCTTCATTCCAGGCCTAGTGGGGAGGAGTTCCTGTTTCACGGATGAAGAGACTGAAGGTAAGTAGAGGGCCATGCCCAATTTCATACAGCACTGGCACAGCCCAAAGTTGGACCAGTGTGACTCTAAGGAAGATATATGAGCCCTGTCCCTATCCTGCTCTGATCCAGCCTCTCCCTCAATGCCTTTGCCTGGGGCTGGGCTGCCTGACCCGAGGGCAGATCTGGGCAGGCCCATTCCAGGCTACTGCACCTCTCAGATAAAGTGTTCCTGGAACCGGCACCGGAGCATGTATCGTCTCCCAGTGTGCCCCACTCCCTCCATTTATTTTTCACCCTGGCCACTGATGGGTTTTTCTAGAGCAGCTATAGCCAACATAACTTTCTGCTTCTGCAGTGATGGAAATGTCCTAGAAGGGCTCTGTCCAGTCCAGTAGCCACATGTGGCCTTTAAGCACTTAAAATATTGCTAGTGTGACCGAAGAACAAAATTTTAATTTAAAAAACTTTTTAAAAAATTGTAATTAACTAAAAATTATATGCAAGTAGCTATGTGTGGCTGGCAGTTCCTGGACTTCCTAGCACAGGTCTAGAGCATCAGTAAACCACAGTACTACCTTGCACAGAAACTACAGCTGGGCTGAGACAAAGGCCTAGCCCCGTCTTTCATGGCCAGAGGTCAGGAAATACTGACAGATAGGTACCTTGTCCTGTGGGAGCTGGTCCCCATTGGATGAATCCCATATGTGCTTCTGGTGACTTTAAGTTTGGCCCATGTAAAATTCAACCTCTAGCTTAGAGGTTTCTAAGTCTTGTCCCATACCACTGCAGCTTTGCAAATATCAATACACAATATGCATACACAGAGTGGGTCTTGCAGCTCTCCAGTCTGTCCTAGCTCTACCACCCCCCACCTCCAGGCCCTTAGTGCCTCCATGTTACAGCCAGAGGGCCAAGGCTTGAGGAAGGCTGGATGGACCCATCTCCTTTAAGACAAGTGATCCAGGTCCTGAAGGCCTGGCTCGTTTGAATGAGGGAGCAGAGCAAGCTTACCCAGGCTTCAGATATCCTCAGCCTTGCCAGCCTGGAAGGGGGTGGCCACACAGGTGTTCAGTGGCAGTGCAGGCAACCTGACAAAATGTCTCCCCTGTCGGCTGGGGGCCTAAGCCACAGTAGCTCATTTGTGGGCTCATTTGTCCTGCCCTCCTGCCCCAGCCTCTCCTAAGTGCCCTCCCTGACTCCCACCACGTGTTCCTGGCCTTTCTAAGCACACACTTTTTCTGCAGGCTTCTCCAGGCCTAAATCTCTAATTCTCTCCTGGTTGGTGATCACGGTGGCCACACTCCCCCCTAGTTCTCTCTCATTGGATGCCTTGGCAGCTTCAACACCTGATTTTGATCACTCCTTCCTAAAACTTTCTCTAGCTGGCCTCCTGAGCACTGCCCATCCCCCACCCACCCATTCCCCATCACCCCTCTGGTCCCCAGACAGTCCTTTTTCATCCCAGTGATCTCCAACCTGGATTTTGCCCTTCAATGTTGGCGTGCTGGGGTTCTAACCGTGCATGTGGACATCTCCATTCATCTGCTGTCTGTTAACCATCCCCATTTCACCTTCCCCCAAACCCTCATTATCTCTCACTTCCTCCCTGGGGCTGCTGCTGCTATTCTTGTTCCCCCCAGCTCGTTTCCCTCTTACACCTACAGCAGCGTGGGAAACACTGTCTGAGGCTCCCCACTGCTCTGACATACCTGAAAACCTTTGCTAGCAGACCACCCTACGTGTTCCACTTATACCCAACTTCCAGTAAACATGGGAACTCACTTCTCTTCTGCCAGCAATAGCTTTTTCACCTTGACGCCTACAACTGGATAACTCTTGTTCACCTTCACCACCTCTAGAAAGCCTGTCTGCCACCGCCCCTCCACTCAGAGCGTGGTCTCCATTGCAAGGCGTGTCACATTGCATATTAGTGCTTCTCCAGTAGAGTACAATAAGCATCCTGACAGGAGAACTGGACTAGCCCCCACCTCGGGGCCTGGCACCTGGCAGAGACCTGGGCCCTCTTGGTCTCCACCTGCAGTCAGTGGAAGCAGGGAGCCTGGGTCTAGGTGCATTCTCAGCCAGGCAGGAGATGGTTCAGGAACTGGGTACATCGACATTTGCCAGGGACCTGCGAGGTCACAGGAAAAGCTCTGTCCTTATTTTGGTGCATATGCCTTTTAGGTGCCCCAGCTTCTCCTGCCTCAGTAACTGGAGAGGAGGCAGGATGCCTCTTTTGAAAGGAGGTCCAGTTCTCAGTGGATAAAGAGGCCATGCTGTGCTGGGGGAGCAGGACACCTGGGCTCTGTCAGTGACTCACAATGTGACCTTGGCAAGGAAGATCCTCTCTGTCCTCTTTCTGTACAATGAGTGGGATGGGCTTGTTCTGGGCCCCACGCCTCTTAAGTCAAGAGTTTTCCTCAGCTCTTGTTTTGGGCACAAGAGGGCAGACAAGGGCTTTGGAGTACTGAGGAATGCGGGCCGACTAAGCTTTAAGAAAACATACTGTGTAAACTGTTCTTTACTGAGCCCAAAGTTTGGTGAGAGCCAGACTTGGTGGTGGTGATGATGATGGTGGTGGTGCGGGGGTGGAAGTGGGAGGGGGGGCCTCTTGTCTTACCAAGTAACTGCACTTGACCCAGAGTTCACCCAAGACACTTTGAAATTGGCTAGAAGAAATCTGATTTCCCAGCTGCTGCTTCTCAGCTCTGGCCATGGCAGTGGGAAGCCAGTGGCCTGCGTCTCTTTCCACAGTGGTCCTTTGCTGTCGCTACCATCACAGAAATCCCCCCTGTCATCTTTCTTCCCAACTTCCTTGTGCAGAGGAAGGTGCTGAAGCCCCTTCGGACCCAGACAGGAGGGACGATAATGGTAGGTGAGGAGGCAAGTGGGATGCAGGGCTGGGCTGGGGACCCCCACACCTGGTTCGTTCTCACCTCTGGGCCTTTGCCCATCCTGGGCTCTCCATCTGGAATGCCCTCCTCCCACGTAGTAGTTGAACAAAATCTTAAGTACTCCTCAAGGCCCAGCAGCAATGACTCTTTCTCAAAGCCTCCCCTATCCCAGGACATTGGAATTCATTGGTTTTTTTTCCTTTTCCTCTGGGAACTTCCAGGTGAGTTACTGTATTTGCTGGTATGTAAGGTATATCCCTATCCCCCAGAGATATATCCTAAAACGATTGCTCCAGTGAGTCAAATTTAAGATGGAAAAGCAACCCCCCATGACTTCAACGATGGATGGAGCTCCCTCTCTCCCCATCATGGGCGTGGCAATGAATGCTGCCAGCAAAATTAGGTTTCCTATCTTTTGTGTACTTTTCTTTAAAATTAGCCACAGAAACATTTCAGATTTCAATGTTCAATGATCTAATTCAGACCTGGATTGATGCCTATTGATCCCTATAGTTTTCTTTTTAACTTGCAAGTTCATATGATTTTTAGTTTATTAGAGTATTACTTCCCACCCCAAAACTTTGATTTCCTATGGGATTTCAGTATTCAGTCTGCTATATTTCCATGAGCAAAAACTTGTCTATTTTCCCTTTGAAAGCCACATCAAAGTCATTGTCAGCTTACGTTTCTTCCAGTTTCCTCACAAAATTGCAAGGGGGTTTATGCACTGCGCATCACATATGCCAACCCATCTAGTACTTGCTACTGGGACTGGGTTTGCTGGTGGGTGGGTGCCTCCTGTAGCCCCACCTCAGAGGTTATCCCCACCTCAGAACTGGCTAGAAGCACTGTTTATGGGATGAATGAGTGAATCAGTGAATGAGTGAGGAGTGAATGAAGGAGAGGGCTTCCCTGCCCTTCACCCTGTGCTTGTCTCCCAGGCGGGGAAGCTGGCAGTGGAGCGAGGCTGGGCCATCAATGTGGGTGAGTGCCCCACCTGGGGGAGCTGGCCTCTCAGGGCCTGGGGGCTGGGAGGGTCAGGAGGGACTGGAGGAAGAGCTATTAGCTCAGAGGCTCTGGTGCTTAGGAGGGACCAACCAATGCCTCCATCTGGGATGGAATCCTTGTCTAAAAGACTTCTCCAGGTTGCTCCCCAGTCCTGCCTTTACATACTTCCAGTGATGGGGAACTTGTTCACAGAAAGCCTGGGCCATCCCTGGACAGCTCTGCATGGGATGGAAACTCTGCAGAGTTTCAGAGGCTCCCCTAAAAGACTCCATCAACCTCTGGGGCCCAGGACAGTCTGCAGAGGCTTGGTCATGTTGTGGTGGATGGACAGGCCCAGGATCAATATCACTTTGTTCTCACGGGCCTCGAGGGCCATCATTGCCCCGGCCCCTGGCCTCTCCCATGAGATTGGCTCATGGAAGAGCTGCACCCATGGTCATCTTCATCCTTGCCAGTGTCCCTCACAGAGGCTTGGCATTTCACAATTTATGAAGCCCTGTTCTGTCCAGCCTCTCATCTGACCTGGGTGTTATTGTTCAGTCCAATTTTACTGATAAGAACATGGACCTTGAGAGAGGCCTGGTGACTTGCTCAGGGCCCCAGTGCTTCTCCCCTGACCCCTACCTTGGACTTTGAGCACTGCAAGGCCAAGGGCTAGATCTCTTCTGCCTTGGTATGTCCAGGTACCCATCATTAGGTCTGGCTTAACCATGATGTTTTGATACTCTGCTGAACAAACAAATAAGTTATGCATGCCATGGGTTTCTACAGGGTTCCCAAGAGGACCCAGGAAGGCCCTTCCCTCGCAGAAGGTGTTATGGCCTGGTAGAGGTTAAGATCCCAGATCCTGATCTTCCTGATCTAGCCTTGGTTTGAATCTTGGCTCTGCCATTAGCTAGCTGTGTGACGCAAGGCAAGTTGCTGACCCTCTCTGTGCCTCAGGTTCTTAATTTGTAGAATGGAGATGATGATGATAATGCTGCCTGCTAGGGCTATACAAAGACTTCAGTGAGCTCAGTGCCTGGTTAGGAGTTTACTGTTGGCTATTATTGGGTCATTATGATCCAATGACTGCCTCTTGAGTGGTGGAAGAGGTAAGTCCCCATATCTGTGGGCCCTGGCTTCACACTGCCAGATGAGGCACACTTCAGAAGCTCTGCAGCTCAGGTTCTTGTAGGGGTTGCAGGGGACTGGGCTGTATAGGCACTGAGGCTCTGAGGCTGTGGTCTTGGGGTTGAGGGGTAAAGGGGGCTAGATCCTGGCCTTCAGGGCCCTCAACATTTCCATGGGCAGCCATGACCAGCAGACTGTGCCCTGTCTGCTCATCCCCTTCTACCGCCTTGCGGAATCTGCGTGGTCCCAAAATAAACCTGTCCCCATAGCCCCACCACCCGTTTTTTGGCAGGAGAACTTACATGCAAGCAGTGCCCAGCTCTGTGGAGACTCATTGCCTTGGGAAGGCTGAGCTATTGTCCCCTGAGGGGTGTGAGTGGGCACTGGGGCCGACTTGTTGGGACAATCTAAAGGGTTTCTTTCTGTGACAGGGGTGGCTGTGATAGCAAAGCTGCCTCCTGACCTGGAGATGGTGACATGTCTAGGCACTCAGTTCACCTCTCCAACCTGGAGTCCCAGGAGCCTTCCTGGGAGCTGAGCAGGAAGGGCCCAGTGGGAGGCCCGGGGGGCGGGGGTGTGCCTGGGTCTAGCTCTTGAGCCTGGCCCTGACCACACCTCATCTGCCCTTCTGTAGGTGGCGGCTTCCATCACTGCTCCAGCGACCGGGGCGGGGGTTTCTGTGCCTATGCGGACATCACACTCGCCATCAAGGTGTGCAGGAGAGCACCTGGGAACTCACCTCCAAGAGACCTTCCTGGAATCCCGCTGCTGCTCCCAGTTTTGTGTTCTCACCCCACATTATAGAGAGGGCAACTGAGCCTCAGAAGGGAAGGAAGCTCCTGCATTGCTCAGCCAGGCTCGGGCTCAAACCCAAATCTGATACTCTTCTGTGTTGTCTGTGACAGAAGGGAGATACTATAGCCTTCAGCAACAGCAGGGGAAGGGGTGGGGCAGGGGGCGGCAGCAACAACATAAGGAGGGAATTGTTACAGAATATTGAGGAGGAGATGGAAATAATAATGATCACAATGATATTGATGGCATTAACGATTGGCTCAAGCTTATGCCAGCCACCGTTTTCCCTGGCTTACCTCAATTAATCCTCACATATTACAGATGAGGAGACTGAGGCCCAGAGAAGTGAGGTCTCACAGCCAGAAGGTGCAGAGGTGGCCTTGGCCTCCTTGTCTGTTGGACCCCAGAGGTCCTCCTGACCACCTTGTGCCTGACCTCAGGCTGGGTTTCAGGAACAGGCTGTCATAGTCCCTGTTCTCACAGGGCACACAGACTAATAGTGACGTTGGGGCAGGTCAGCAGAGAGGGAGACACACAGTGGACCTTCCTAGAGGGTGGGGAGAGGGGAAGGAGGCACAAGGACATTGAGTTGTAGGAAGGCAAAGATTGTAGAATAAAATTCCAGACCCAGTTTTCAGGGGAGGTTCCCCTCTCCTACACCTCCTCAAACATTTCCCCAGGATTCCTGGGCTGTCATTGAGGGCCATCCTCACTCCCCTGCTTACCTACCTCCTGACTTCCAGCCCTTCAGGGCACAGAACAGACCCCTTCCTCCAGGAGCCTTCCTGACCACGTACACATGCTTTTCTGGAGCTGCACAGCTCTCCTGGGCATGTGATGGTTTTGCCTGGTTCTGATAATACACAGCATGTATGGCCTCCTGCCCTGGCCCTTCACCAACTAGGAGTCCTGAAGGGCTGTGTCTTCTAGCCTGTGTGGGTCCTCACATCTTCCCTCTCCTCCCCTGGGCAGTTTCTGTTTGAGCGAGTGGAGGGCATCTCCAGTGCCACCATTGTTGATCTCGATGCCCATCAGGTGAGTGCCCTGTGGTGGCTGGGGTCTCATGGATCCCCCTCCTCAGGCCCCCTTTGCATGCTCCCCATGAATATCTTTCATGCAGCCCTATACTGTGGGACTTCCCCAACCCTGGGAACAGCCCTGATCCCCAAGGCAGGCTTCTGCCACCTTCATCCTGATCTATCCCTCTCCCTGTGTCTGGAAAGAAAGGCTGGAAGCAGGGGGTCCTTCTTTCTCCCTCTGCCCCTCTCATCCCAGCCAGGGTGGCTGGTCCTCTTCAGTGCTCCTATCAAACCTGAGGGTCCTCCCTCCCTTCTCCTAATTGCCCCCACAAACCAGGCTGATGGCTCTTCCTAAACCCAGTCTGTCAGTGCTATTGTGTTCTAAATCCCTCAGTAGCTTCTGTGGTCACTTTGTACAGAGCTGAGAAGCACTACAGACCCACCCCTGAGGAAAGTGCTCACGCACACCAGTTCAGGGTTGCTTGGCCTCAAGGCCACTGCTTAAAAACTCACTGCCCGCGGGGAAAGCATCAGGACTTGAAGCCCTGGTCTGGCTCCTCTGGTCAAAGACAGGGCAGGGTATCCATAGGCCCTTGAAGGCCCCTCCCACATCTGTGCTGCTGTAGCTTTGTGATGGTCCAGGGCCCTGCTTTAAGGTCTCATGAGTACAGCTTTTTACAGTTTATGTTTCACATCCCTGATGCCAGCCAATTCTACTACAGACTTGAGAGGGTAGTGGAGCCAGGATTCCTGCCTTGTTTCCTGGAGAGGAAAATGAGAGGGCTGGGGCTTGCTTGAGATCATGCTGGAAGGTCATAGGGCCAGGTTTTGAGGTTAAATCCCAGCTTTGTCACTTAGCAGCCATGAGATCCTCTGTTCTAAGGGCAAACCACATTGCTCAGGCATGGGGTGGGGGAGCAGGCCCTGGCCTTACTGAGGGCACCTGCCTGCAAGTGGGTACCATGTTCTCCCCACAGGGCAATGGACATGAACGGGACTTCATGGGTGACAAGCGCGTTTACATCATGGACGTCTACAATCGCCATATCTACCCTGGGGACCGCTTTGCCAAGCGTAAGCTGCCCCCATCTCCTCAGTCCTAAGTATACTCTTGCATGAATGGGGCATTCCCTCCTGAGTGTTTCCTATATGCTGGGGCCTGCAGAAGCCACTTCATTTATTCTCAGCATCTCTGCAAGTTGGGAATCATCCCCACTGTACAGATGAGGAAACTGAGACCTAAAGAAGTCACTTGACCCACCTAAGGTCCCATTAGCCTGTTTAATAAACATATGTGTGGGTCCTTATATTAGGGGTAACCATCAGAAGGATAAAAATAGACTCTTAGGTATGCGTCTGTCTGGTAGAACATGGGAAATGATGAAAAAGAAACAAAGGGGGAAATATGATAAATAGAATATTCCAAATAAGTTGGCAGAAATTAGTTCAAATATAATAATTGTTAAAGTGAATACAGGCAGGTTAAACTTATCAATCTAAAGGCAGAGATGCTCAGATGAGCTGTGAAAACATAGGGACCTGCTCACTTTGTGGGTAGGGGACATTTTTGCTGGAAGGGCTAGTGAGTGAGTCTGCTCTGCGTAGTTAGCTGCCAGTGTGGCCCAAGGGACCAGTTTCTGAACTGAATCTTTAATGTGCTGGATTTGACATGAGGGCACAGCATGGTATCTATGTGTCTGGGCAAGGCCTCATGAAGGCAATGAGAGCAAGATGTCTGACACGGGTGGGTCTCTAAGTCTATGGGGTAAACTTATCTGCAATTGCCCTTCTCTCCTTTGGGTCCTTGCTTTACAGCTATTGGTGCTCTTTTTAGCTTAGTTTGGCGTGAAATGAGAGCCTGAGCAGTGCTGGAGTCAGGCCATTTTTTAGCCCTGCCTTGGTCATTGACAAGGACCCAGGCTGTCTTTGCCCTCTTAAGCCTCAGTTTCTCTTCTCTGCACATTGAGGTATTCCTGTATCCCTCTCAGAGGCCATCAGGCGGAAGGTAGAGCTGGAGTGGGGTACGGAGGATGATGAGTACCTGGATAAAGTGGAGAGAAACCTTGAGAAAGCCCTTCAGGAGCATCCTCCCGATGTGGTGGTGTACAACGCAGGCACCGACGTCCTTGAGGGCGACCGCCTTGGGGGACTGTCCATTAGCCCACAGGTACGTCCTGACCCTGGGGGACAGGGGAGGGTCAGCTCTACAGACTGAGCAGCAGCAGGACAGGGGGACCACATTGGTGTTTCTCCTGGTATCAGAGAGGGGCTGGGTGCAAATAGCATGACCTCCCGATACCACAAAGATCGAGGTGTGCCTGAGCCAGCCTTCCCAATCTCCCCACAGGGCATCGTGAAGCGAGATGAACTGGTGTTCCGGGTGGTCCGTGGCCACCAGGTGCCCATCCTCATGGTGACCTCGGGCGGGTACCAGAAGCGCACAGCCCGCATCATTGCTGACTCCATCCTTAATTTGTATGGCCTGGGGCTCATTGGACCTGAGTCACCCAGCATCTCAGCACAAAACTCAGACACACCTCTGCTACTCCAGGAGGTGCCCTGACTGCACTGCCCTTCTGAGTGGCTCCCTGCCTGCCTCCCACCCTGCCCCCGCTCAGTGCTGCTTCTTTTCTAACCGCATGGGGCGGTGGGGGCAGCTGCTAGGTGCCCAGGGCCTGTCCCTGATGGGGCCTGCCTTAGGGGCCTGGCAGGCTGCTCCTCTGCTCTCCCCACTGGATGTTGGAGGATCTCCAGGCCTCTTTGTGGGTGGGAACAGAAAGCAGTCCCAGGAAGACAGCGCATGGGATCACGGGTCTGACCAGGCCCTGGGGAAGCAGGTAGTTCACCCAAAAAGAGAGGAGGGCACGTGAGGCTCTGGGTGCAGCAGGGAGAGCCCCCAGAGGTCAGGGTACTCTGGTTTTCAAAAATGTCAGACCCATGTCAGACCAAGGAAGCTTCCATCTCTACTGTGGTTGGGCCTCTCCCTCTTACGTCATGCAATTTGCTCCCCTTCTTGTCTCAGGCAGGGCATGAGGCACTGGGGACAACATGTGGGTGGGACTGAGAGTTGGGTACAGAAGCCAGGCCTCTTGGAGGGGCCCTGAATTCCTGGCCAATAGGCAGGAGCCCTGGTCCTATATGTGAGGGGTGGCAGGGAAGGAGGTTCAGGTGGATTTTCCCTCCTGCCATTCCCTTTCAAAAATACAAGGACTGGACCTGCCCCCTGAGTTCCTCAGTGATGATAAAGTGATGGGGAGGCCTGAGGAGTCCCAAATCCCTGCTTCTGTAGTGGTCTCACCTATTCAGGGGGAAGGGGCACTTTTGGGAAGAACACTTGGCCCAGGGCTTCAGCAATGGAGGCATAATGGGGCCACTGACCCCAGTGGGGAGGGGGCAGAGAAGGTGAGGCCCGGACGGGGAAATTTTGGATAGGGCACCTGGCCAAGCCAGGTCCTTCGGGAACTGAGGCCCCATGTAGGGACTGAGGCACTGGTGAGGCCAGGCTGGAGTTTCTGGAGGGTCTCCATCCTGGCCTACAGGCCACAAGGGAAGGGGGCTGGGGTGGGGTCCTGGGTGGAGCTGCAGCCTCCACTGGTCTGACCCAGATTCTTTGAGGCCCTGATCACGGTCTATGTCCAGGGTCCCGAATGGGCCCGAACCTTGTCTTCAGCTCTACTCTGAAGGGGACTCTTAGGATTCTCAGAAAGCTGGGCTGGGGAAGCATCTACTTCTCCTTTGCCTGGGTGTGTGCCTAGTGGACAAAGGTGGGGCTAAAGAGTAAAGAGGTATCTCAGTCCCAGACCAACTCCACATATGGGACTCGTATTCACTACAATCTGGGGGTGCTCCTGCAATCTCCTTTCTCCGTCATACTCCCTTGCCACTCCCTCTGCTGGAGCAGGGATGAGGTAGGGTAAAATTTCAAAGATCTCAGACTGTCAAAAAGGCTGACCTTCTGGACAAGACCTGAGACATTAACCATGCTCTTAGACCCTCACCCCCCACACCTTGTCATTGGTTTCTCTCTATCTGACTTGAGATCCCTAACATCCCATTATCCCAGTGCAGCTTGTGACATCTGGGGAAAGGCGGTGATGTGGCTCATCACTGTTGAGCTTCTGTTTGTAGAGAACCATAAAGGCTCTTCTTGATTGGACCTAGTCACTGTGTCACTGTGTGTTCTTGAGATGAAGAATCCCTCCCTCCTATGAATTAAAGGGAAGAAAACTTTAAAATGCACATAGCACAAGGCCTTTCATGAGGCAGCTACCCAAGAAATGATTGTATTTTATTTCATCCTCCAAGTCCTATAAAGTAGACCATTATTGCCATTTTAAGATGGCACAACTGAGATTCAGCGAGCAATTAAACCCAATCCACATGCACATCTAGTGAGTGTAGAGCCAGGTTTGAACCTAGCTCTGGTGGATTCCAAAGTATCTCAGCTGCATCAAATATAGCAGGGGTGAAGGGGAGGGGCTCATTGCTCTCCAGAGGAGAGTCCAGAGTCTGAGAAAGTATGGGATGGGAAGGCAGGCAGGGTTGGGCTTGGGCTGTGATGGTGGCTCTGCACAGTGTGGGAGGCAGCAGGTGGGGAATCGGAGGCGGGGGGTTCTTCTAGCACTGGGCTTCAGTTGAAACACTTGTGGGAATGGTCTGAGTCAGGCAGAGGGGTCCAGACAGGTGGGGAGCAGGACCTTGTCCTCAGCCTGGCAGAGTAGCCAGACCAATCCCCAGGGTTAGTGGCACAGCCTGGGTGGGGAGCAGGGTAGCCCCACTGACCCTTGTGGGGACAAGGACATCAGATGAAGACATCCGGGGTGGGGAGGTGGCAGGCAGGGGTCCAGAGTGGCCCTGTGCTAGCTACAAGGGGGTAGGATGAAGGTTGGCAGGTGCCAGGCTTTGTTCCACGTTCTTGGTGGGAATTACCTGTTGAACCTCACCACACTGTGAGGTAAGAACTACAATATTTTTGTTGTACAGATGCAGACACTGAATCATAAACTTGGTTAGTTACCCAAAGCCCACAGCTAGTAAGTGGAGGAGCAGGATTTGTAGCAAGGCTTCAGCTCTGGAATCTATAAGCTGTTTCCTCATCTGTGAGAAGCTTTTAAGGAGAGGTTCCAGGGATAAATGCCTTAATGCATGGAATGCATGGAGGACGTGTTGCATTTTCTTAGCATCTAGTAAATGTTAACAATGATGATGATTCTCATCTAGGTCTCGTTGAAGAATCAAGGACAGTTGAGGTGAAATGTTGGCATCTGTTCTTAAGATATGTGCATTTTTCGGCTTGCAAATTGTACCCCAAGTTATAAAAACCCAAGGGGAACACGCTAACTTTTGTAGGGTGGCTGAGGGACTGGTCCTGGCTGGTGCGTTGGGCACTACAGCCCAGAGTGAGAGAAGGGAAAGGCTGGAGGAGGTCTGGAGTCAGACACACACTATGGTGAGAATTTGGAGGCAGACCAGTTTGGGAAAACACTGTCAAATAGGAGCTCACCATGGGTTGGTCCTGATGCCTGGTGGGGGTGGGATTTCTGCCAGAGGCCCCTGCCAGAGCGTGAACGTTTGACCTGGGAGGTGGAGTCCTCCTAGGCAGTGGGGAGTGGGCAGACTTTGGAGCCCAAGCCCACCATGTGGGGAATCCTGCTCTGCTTGGGCCTGGGTGAGGAGCCTTGGCCAAATGACAGCCTCTCAGAGCCTGCTTCCTCAGCCACCCTAGGGGGTCATAGTCCTGAGCTTGTGGGGCTGGAGCAGGTGTACAGGATGTGACACTGGTGATAGCTCAGAGTCTGGTACCAAGTAGGTGCTGTATGAAAGTAGCCACCCTCCACGCTCCTCCTCACAGACCCTAGCGCATGCCTGGCTGAGGCCTGGGGACAGGGGTTTCTTTTCCTGGAGTCACAGTTCTGCTCTCCAATTGCTACCAGTGGAGGGATTCTCCGACAAGTATGGGAAACAGCACCCACCCTCCGCCCCACAGAGACGACGCCTGAGGAGAGGCTAACAGCCTGGTGGGCAGCAGAGGCAAGAATGAAAGTCCCAGCCTGCTGCCTTGGGTGGAAACAAAGGCAGCTGCTAGCATGGCCCCCTTCCAGCCAAGAGGACTCCTGGGCAGATTTAAAGGAGACTTTTATGATGCTTCCCTGGCTCCTCAGCCAAATGCTTGGGGTATAGGACAAGGAACTCCTCTACGGCAGCCTGCCCTTGAGTTGGTTTCAATTAGCTCAGCCAACCCCAGCTGGTGACACCCTGCTCCAGGCCCATGGCCAATGTGGGGAGGCTCAGTGACACCCAGTGAGCAATATTGTTCTGTGATTTTTGTGAGGCTGTGGGATGCAGTCCCTTTCCAGCCTGATTTTGAGTCCCACTTCCTCCCCTTGTTAGTAGGCTACTCTGTGTCTTAATTTACTTATCTGTAAAATGGGGGTGATAACACCTACCTCATAGGGTTCTCATGAGAATGAAGCGAGTTAATGTGTAAAGCACTTAAAGCAGTGTCCAGCCCTCAATACATGTTACCCACCATAATCATCGACTTCTTACATGAGAGGAGACAGAGACTCAGATAATTGACTTGCCCAAGATCACACAGGAAATGGAAGGGCCAGAGAATAGATCCAAATTCACCCAACTCCAAAACAAGTGCATTTTTCCCACAATCAGAAGCTCTCTGCAAAGGTTTGAAATGAGAGTATCTTGGAGAAGATTACATCTCACATACCACCTGGCCCTCTCAGGCCCTCCCCTGTGCATGCCTTTACCAGCAATCCTGGGAGAGGTGGGTGTCAGCACCCAGTGTCTAGATAAGATGGGACCCAGAGGCAAAAAGCAGCCATCTTTGGTCCCTCAGCAGTGGTGGCAGGGCCAGGTGGAGGGAAGTGTGGCAGTTTTAAGTGGGTGAGTGGCTGTCAGCTCCAGCTGGAGCTTTCGGAGACAGGCGGTGTCCTTGTCCTGCCCTTGAAACACTCTTCAGCTGAAAGACACATTGGGCTTTCTGAAGGGCCATCCAACTTGCAGCCTGAGTTTTGCAAGCACAGGGTGAATTTTTGACAATAAAACAGAGCAGGCAGCTGAAAAGCGCTTTATGGATTGGCTCTGAACAGTCAGCGCTGCGGGCCGACGGCATGCAGAGGCCCAGCCTCCTGGCACTGCAGTTGGATGGGGCTTGCTCGGGTGGAGGACAGAGAAGGCTGTCTTTCTCACAGGTCCTGCTAGGGTCCTGACTCAGTGCCAGCGGTCACCATTGTCAGTTCGTAGATGGGGAAAGTAAGACCCAGGAAGGGCTGTTAAGGAAACTGGCACCTCTGGCAAGCCTGGCCTCCTGGTTTCCTCCCCTAGCAGCCTTCCTACTGAGGCAGTGGAACAGGTGTGGAGCACGGCGGCATGTACTGCCGTGGCATCAGTGAGAGGACCTCAGCAAGCCCTCCCCATCAGCAGTCAAACTGCCCTTCATGCTCCCACTTTTTCTTCACCCTCACAGCAGCCTCCCTGGGCAGACACCTGGAGCCTCATTTCACAGACTGGGAAATGAGAATCAGAGAAGCACACAGCACTCACCCAAGTCTGTATCAGACTGAGTGGCAGAGCATTGTCTCTGAATTTCCTTGTCGCTATTAGGGTGAAGGCCCAGTTGACATGTCTGCATGGAGGAGCCATGATCTCTGCTAGGGGGTGGGAGGGGGCTGGAGAAAGGACACAGATTTTGGAGTTGGCCAGCCTACATTCAAACCTGCCTTTGTCACTGGCCTGAGGAGTGACTCTGGGCAAATGGCATCCCTTCTCTGAGGCTTACTGCTCCTTCTACAGAGTACTGTGTGTGTCAATGGAAGTGGGGCTGCCATGTGGTCTATGAGTCATTTGAGGACAGAATTAGTGTGCAAAGGGTGAGTGTGGGAAGGACCCTCATAGCTCGCTGTCTAGTCTCTTATTGCACAGACAGGGAAACAGAGGCCTGGACAGACAGGGGGCATTGCTCCATGCAGGAGGTGGGCTCATGCGGAGGCAGTGTCTCACAGTGGTTAGAGTTTGGATTTGCTGTGAGGCCCTGATTGAAGCCCTGAGCCTCAGTCTTTCCCCCCATAAGATGCCCTGGCATAGGCAAAGGCTCAACTGGTATGAGATGGGAATGAGATGGCATTCTCATCGTAATGACGACTAACACAACGCAGTGCTTCTGGGTTCAGGCACAGTTCAAGCACCAGCAATATGATATGGCTTCTTTCTCATACAACTGTGTTTGCATGTGAGGACAGGAGCGCATGGAAGGTGCTCATGGATGTTACCTCCCCCTAAGAGGTTGGTGCATCAGGGGGCAACCTGGCCAGGTAGCTTCTGGGACTTCCTATCCCTTTCTGACTCTGACTGTGAGATTCTTGCTGGGTACCGTGACCTTGGAACTCTGGGGAAGGTGTCACAAGTGAGGAGGGTTCCTACTGGGGCAGGGGGTGTGGCCAGGGGCCCAGCCAGAGGCCCACTCCTTTCTGGGACGTCCCAGCTAGTGTGTAGCCCACCAGTCGTCTCGGTAACTGATACCCAGGAGGCCAAAGTTATGGTGTGTGGCTGGGAGGCTATTTTGTCTAATACATTAAAAGGGCTTTGGAAATTCCTGAAGCGCATCTGGTCCTCGTTATACCACAATATTGCTGTCTCTCTAGCTCGCAGACGAGGGAACACTTTTATTTCTCCTTTCACAGCTCAAGAATGTGCCTGAAATGCAGTCCTGCAGACATCCATGTGGTTCCCCAAGTTTCTTGGTCACATGCTGGAACCATCATCCTTTTAAAGGCCTACCGCTCCTTCCCCTCGGCTCCCCCACCCCAGACGACCCCCAGGACTCCTGGGGGTGCCGGGGGAAGGCTGAGGCTTTGGAGCTGGGCCTGCCGGGCTTTGTAATGTGCCCCCAACCTTTGCGCTTCCTTGCTCCTATAACAGACAGGAATTCCTGAGAAGTGAACACAAGCTTGTCATGTTAGTAAGTCCTTAGTAAATGCAGGCTTCCCTGATATTCTCCATGAATTTGTGAAAATTGTTTAACCAACCAAGTACCAATAGCTCCTGTAAAATCGGGTCTAAAACTCTAAGGGATGTTGATAATCATTCCTTATTCACATGGCAGCTCTGCCCAACCACAGCCACACAAGAAGCAG